AGTAGTATATATATATATATATATATATATACTTTGTATTTTCTCATTTTAAAAGGAATAATGCTATTATTTTTATGTTTTGAGGCACCAATTTCTTTCTAGGCTTGTTTCTATACGTGACTGCCATAATGAACTATCATATCGAGGTTCTCAAAGAAGGGTACTCTTATCTGAGTCGAGATAAACAGTCCATGGTAGCAAATGGTACTTCAACACTTATAAAAGGTCCTGGAGTCAATATTCTGGTTGACACAATGAATGCTTGGAATAGCCAGTTTCTCATTGAAGGTAAATTTAGAGTTCATTAAAATTAATTTGTTTTTGAAAAAATAACCTTTGTGATTTCTCAATGCAACTTGTACTTTCATTGATACATATAATATACAAATATTTAGGGAATATAGTTAAAGATATTCGAAATTTAAACCAATTGAATTTTTAAAAATCATCTTCCGGAAAATTTTGCTTGTACAGTAAATTTTATGTCATATCTTTCAAGTTATCAAAATCATATGTTGATATCACTAGAACATAAAATATACAAGGTATACAAAATTTATTGAACCAGTTTATGAATTGAATAGAATGAGAACCACCTAAGATAAACAACTGAGGTTTGTAGTATAATGGAGGTTTACCCGTGGCCAGTGGTGACATTAGTGCACCTTGACATGGGCATCATTTTTGGTTTGAAGGATATCCAGGCAATAATTGATCTTCGTCCACATATATGCCACATATATGTAATCATTGTTGTGTTGCTGATTCAGACACATATACATTATCATTTGTGGTACCTTTTTCTAAAAAAAACTTCCAGACATCAGTGTCTCGCATGCCACAAACCACAACTTGTGTTCTTATTCTGTTCAGTTAAGAAAGTCGTTCAATATTTTTAAATTCCTTATATATTCTACGATAAAGAATCAGCAGTAGGGCTTTGAATTAAAAGAAAACTTTTAAACCTAGGAATCTTTTGTACGTTATTTTCTTGAATGTAGAATAATTTTGTTAAACACTTTATGAATATATGTGGTACTTTATCATGTTAAATATTGTGCAGCCACCTAAAAAAGTTTTGGAAAATATTGAGTATAAACATGTACATGTGTATTTGAAAGTTTGTAAAGAAGACAAGTGACTTTAAATAGTTAGTGGCTTTCTGTCTTTTTGTTTATTTTTCCACAGCTTTTTGATAAAGTATTTACTTTGGTTTGTTACCTTAAATTATAAAACTTTTGTTCCTAATGCTATTATCTTCACTAATGTTTTATAAGGGAAAAATATTTCAAAAAACTTGAACTAGTACTCAGTTTCAAAGAATATTTTAATTTGTTGACTACGAGAGCCAAAAACAAAGTTAAGTCAGCATAATATGTCACAAGTTGAGTGTCACTTTATGTTTGATTCTCTGTGTTATGTTGATGCATTATTTATCATTTCCTTAGCCTTGAAAAGAAATGGAATAAAGTGCGAGAACGTTCACTACGTTGTATGCACTCATGGCCACTCTGACCACATTGGAAATCTCAACCTCTTTCAACGAGCAACACAAATTGTGGGCATGAGTGTTTCGTCTGGTGATGTTTATCAGCTTCATCCTTTCGAAAAGGTAAGATTTAAGAATACGTGATCCATTTTTATACATAGCAAAACAATGGTGATGAGTTGATTTTAATGATAGTTTTGTGCATGATTCAAATTTAAAATAGTCATCATTATTAAAACCAAACTCTTTCACTTATGAAAATATTTAATGTATCTTAGTTCTGTAAGTGTACACATTTCATCTTTAGAATGTTTTTGTGTTTTTTTTCAAAACTATATCCACAATGTCATTAAACACTTTACCATGAACCCCCTTTCCACTAGTAAACTATATACATTGGGCTTACTACCCAGATATTCATCACTCTGACATCTGGACTAAGCTCTGTAATGTCACAATTGAAAAAGCAAAATGTACATTATCCATTATACTACAAAGAGAAACAAAGTTAGTACAGAAAATGTAAACTAGTTTTTTATGTAAATACTTCTTATAACTTTATGTTGTTTAAATAAATCTTCAAAATCATTTGTACAAAAGACACCAAGTTGTAACTTTTTGCTTTAAAAAAAATCTGAAGCACTCATTAAAAGGATGTGTAAGCCTTTAACATACATAAATTTAGATAATGTTAAATTATGTCAAACATCTTATTTTCTGCTAAGTCTACTAATAAACTTTGGTCTTTATGTATACAGCAACAATAAGTTGATTCTTTATAAATATTCCTAATTGGAATACAAATATTAATAACTCAAGATGTACATGTAGTATTAAAGCTTGAATTTGTATAGATTATCAATTTTTAATATTTTTTTAATAATAAAACTAACATGTACAATTTTTGTAATAGAAAGCATGATTGTATTGAACTTATTACAATGAAAACAAGATGTGATGTAGCCATTTGTCTTATGTCAAAAACATATTGAGATACAAATTCAGACTTCAATTATCAGTTTTAGCAGGACAGTCACATCTTGAGAGTAATTTTGGATGCTATTAGGTGCTACTGAACTTGTTAGAATTGGTATAAATGCTGGACCAAGATATTAATATTTTTAAAAGGCTTTGAAGTCTTCATCAAAGCAGAACATATGTAGCTCTCAAAATGTGAAATATTACATCATTTTATTTTTGAAGAAAACTTGGATAATTTCTTTGGGGTTAATTGTACTTCATGGGAATGACAATCTAGATTCCCTTGGAAATATTGCTTCCATTGTCAGTTTTGGTCTCTTTCTGATGGCATTAATTATACACCATTGTGTACACTGCAATTTCAATTGTAACAAGCTTCTATGAATGATGAAAAGATCAGTCTTAGCATATAGACCTCTTCACTGTTCATGTACATTGGATCTTTAAACCACTTTTAAGTAAACTTAAGTAAAGTTAAATATGTTGTACATGGCACCAATGCTTGCATCTGTGGTGACGTGTAAAACAAAGTGCATTTAACCTCTCTGTTCAAAAGTATTACTATAAGAAATTGGGAATATAGATGATTGTGTCATCGATATGTCACATCTTTTTGTACTGTCTAAGTATACATACTTGTGTTGATTTTATTAACTTGTTCTGGCAGTTGTATATCTATTTTAACATTGTTATAACTTGTCAAGTGCAAGTGAACCTTGATGCTATTTAACAATATTCATAAAATTTGTAAACTGAAACTTTTTCAGGGTATGCCATATAGAATAGCTAGAAATATTGAAGTAATTCCAACCCCAGGTCACACATTGTCTGATGTTAGTGTAGTTGTCAAATCAACTAATTGTGGAACAGTTGTTATAGCAGGTTGGTTTGGTATTTTACTTTTTATTTTATTATGAAAATTTAAATGTTGTGTTGAAATATGATCGAGTTAACAAAGAATATTTTAATGTTTGTTTGTTTGTTTTTCAATTTAAAAGTATAGTATTTAAGTGTAAATGAAATAAGTGAAAACATGCATAGTAATGTCTTTTTCTTCATGTTTTAATATTTTTGTTTCTTGGGTGAACAGTTTAATAGAAAATTCGATTGTTGTTTTTGTATTGAACAAATATTTATCCTTTTTTCGAAATTCATTACCAACGTATTGTTCTTTGCAGAACAACCATTTACTGTATATCAATTAAAATTAATTGCTTATTAACTAATTAAAATATCAGTCAATATTTCCAAAAGTGTTGCTGTGTGCAGTTTAATTGATTTTTTTCAATATATTTAGGATTTTGTCCATTGTTCAAGATTGTAATTAACTTGATTCAGATTTATTCCTTTGTTCAAATTATACATAAAAGAGACCAAACTTTCATAATTTGAAACAGGTTATGTTTTATCTGTTTATATTCTGTGACAGGTGATTTATTTGAACGTAAGGAAGATATTAAGGACATAAGTTTATGGAGAGATATTGCAGGAAGTGAAAATCCCAATCTGCAGCTACAGTCTCGAGAACATGTTCTGAGTATTGCTGATTATATTATTCCTGGACATGGACCGATGTTCAAGGTGACAAGTGAGCTTAGAGAAATACATGCTTCTATAGTGAAATCAGAGCTAGGAATAGCTTTGAAAGGTTGATTACTTAGGATATAGTAGTTTGTAATGGACCTGGGGGCCATGGGAAAATTACTATTCTTCCAGGTAAAATAACCCATAGCAACCAGGGATTAGAAATATTATTATATATATATACATTGTATTTAAATGTTGTTATTGTTATATAAAACCCTATACAATACATGTTTTGATATTATTGTTTTGAGGCTGAAACAAAATATCTTCCATACAGTATTGTTTTTGTGTATTTTTTTTAACGAGGTATTACTTTTTTTTTTTCTCTGAAAGACTTTTCATGAGATTTCAAGATATTTTGGAGAAGGTTTTTGTGGTGCTTTTAAAACTTTTGCTCATCAAAATGTTTGTTAGTTATCTTAAACTATTCAAAATAATGACATATTTATAGATTAACATAAGAATATGATGGCGTGGAACAACATTAATAGAATAATTAAACCAGTGTATCATATTCATCCACAATTTAGAGAAAAGATAACATAACAAGTTTGTTTTTTTTTGTTTTTTTGAAATAGTGTTATATTATACAAAACTAAATATTTAGATTCTTCTAAATCTAGGTAAGACAGTCTGCATTCAATACATATTTGTGAGTAGATCAGAGGATTATTACTGTTTTTCAATCTTGTGTATTAGTTTTTCCTTCTTCCTGGCAGCAGATATTAAATATCTGAGCTAATATTGTTAACAGTTCAAAACAAAACTTGTCACACTTTATCTTTTATGTACATTTAGTTAGTGAGTTAAATAGCCATTTAGAATGCACAGATTTTTTATCCCTTCCATTTTAAAGTGAACCTGTTGTAAAGTTTGTCTTTTATTATTAAGCCTTTTTTTTTCTCAACTTACAAATAGCATATCAGAGAAAAGTTATTCAGAAATACAGAAAGCTTAGATGGTATCTTTCAGTTAAAGGTTCAATGTATGATTTATTTGGTTCCAGGTCTAAGATACTGAGTACATAAAAAAACATCAATATCTCTTTTCAGAAGTTTAAAAATCTAGTCTCAGTAACTATGTGTAGGTGACTTATTGAGCTTATGCACCAAAGGTTTATATATTTAACTTAGCCATGTAAAGGCATGTACATTGTGTATAAAACTGTTATTTTGAGCAAGGATAGACTCTTGTATAGGGTGAATAATCCATGACTGGAAAATAATAATTATATATATATATACTATGCATTTTAGTGAGAGAAAAGACTTGCCGATATACTAGAAATTATTAGCATAATTAACTGCAGAGAGACAAATAGGAACAGTTGCACCCTTCTCCACCATTGAAAAGTTAGTTCCTAGATCTCTATGAAAATGAAATAATGAACTGGTTCTTCGGAGTCCTTTTGTACTTTACCTTCTCAATGTACAAAATTATTGATGTTCTAAGGTTATTTGCACTTTAACACTGTGCAACTTCTAAAAGCCTGTTTGGTTTTAAACAGGGTAGTATTGTCATTTTTTTTACCTAACTTTGACCAATAGAATTATTTGTTTATGATAATGAACATGATAGTAGGGCAGTGAACAAATGTAGATCTTTCTTTTTTTTAATGAAGCCTTGGGAGGACTTGAATTGCCTAAGGTCAATTAAAAAATATAGTTTGTGTTCATCCCTGCCCACCCTTAGTTTGGTATCTGTGACTCGCTTTTTTCTGTCTTATAATCAGCAATTACTTTTTTGTATTCATTCTGCCATGTAATCTATAACTTTTTGTAATAAAAATGTTGGCATAGTGAAATAAACAATCCAGTACTTTTATAGCCAATATTAGGCTAATTTATGAAAGGTAAGATTAAAAATTAAATGCCTCTCGGCAACCTCGATTTTCCTGAAATTTTGGACAAAAACCAATATTTTTTTAATTGGACTAGCATAACTTTGTGCTATGTTCTTACCCAAGAAATGTATGTATAAAAAATTAATAAAAGAAAAAAAAATAAAACAATGAAAATCTTTTTCATTCATATTAACAGTGGACTCTTGTTGTTGTTTTTTTTGCATCAGAACAATCATCCCAACAAACTTTGTCCCATATTTTTACTGTTCTCTTTCAGTAGCCTAACATCAAGTTGGATTTGGTACAACTTGACTTGTTAATCAGTTGTCGTTGTTTTCCCTTAAGTGATAAAATTTATTTACAGATTGCACAATTTATAATTTTCAAGTACCTTTACATTAATGTGATAGCATATATCTAGGTGTCAGTTTTATAAATTCCCAACCTTGTTAAGAGATTTCTGTGTGTTATACTGACTTATACATGCATATAGCTTCTACAAATTATTACCAAAACAAGTTGAAAGCAAGTTTCTTTCCATGCAGCAACACTAGAACATTTTTTATAGTGGTGGTGCTGAAAGCTGTATATTTGGTTGTTATTATTATGTTAATAAAACAAGCAGGTGTGCAGCACCGCTGTACTTCAAGTCAGGGGATGCTGCATCACCCCCATTCCTGTGCTCTTGTTTCTACGTGTAAATAATATGCTTAAACAATCTCAAACTTCAATAGAATGGTAGTGTGAAAGCTTGCTGAAGTGACTTGCTATGTATTTAGAACTATAATGCGTTCTAGTGTTATTTTTGGCCTGATTAAAACACATCTTGGGTATTTCCATCATACCATATGATGTTACTTGATAGTTTTCATCAGCTCTACCACTAATTGCTTGGTAATTCTACTTCAGTCATATAACTTTTGTGAAACCTGCCTAGTTACTTCTATCAGAAACTTATCAATGAAATTAGGCCATCTACGAATACAGCATTATTAGTGCTCCTTTGTGTAATAAATCTAAATTTGCATTTAATATCATAAGAACCTACAAAAAAAATATTCTTTAAAACAAAGTCACTCTCAAATGATACCTACTCTGAAGGTAGTTTCTTTACTGCATTGAGTGCAATTAATATTAATTTCTGATTAGTCAGAACTGAAAACCAACTCAGTAATAAGTACAGCTAATTAATTATACTGTTCTTACTTATAAAGATTATAATGCATTGTTTCATCAGTTTGTTACTATCGTTAGAAATATTTTCAGTTGTAATCCTAATATTATCTCACAAGGTTCAGCCAGCTTAGAAGATTTCATACTAAGCTAACAGTGCAAAATAGTAAAAATAAATATAAATGGATATATTAAACATTTTGATTAATAATGTTAATGAAAGTAACAATTAAAGAAAAAAATTAGAGCACACCTTACTAATGAAGCATGTAAACATTGATGGTTTGCTTTGTGCACCATCTTAGATTTGATGATTTGATATTAATGTACATAACCTTACCCTTAATGCCGGTATTCTTGTTGGAAGTTTTATCTTTTAGTCATATACATATTAATGTGTGATAGCTTCCCAAAACTTAAAAGCAAAATTTTGTTTCTCCACAAAGTGCTTCAGAATTATTTTAAAACAGTATTCAATTTTTGTATGCCAAAAATATGTTTATAGTTTATTCATCTGATTGTTTGGTTTTCAGAAATGGATTATTCTATGTAAAATATAAAGAAACTACAATTAAAAGGATTTATTTTTACAAGGACCAACTTTAAATTGTGGCACCATATTTGATAATCACTTGTTCATTCCCAGTCCCCAAAATATTGAGGCCATGTGATAAGAAAAAACTGTTGTACATGTACTATTATGTGACGTGCAGAAGCTAACTACATGTAGAATGCATGTTTTAAACAGTTGGGTATTTTTGCCTTAAGGATATTGTCAGATGTAAATCCAACAGTATCTCATGAGGTTCTCTAACTTAAGAGATTTAAGTTAGTCCTAAATCCATATACTAAGCTGACAGAACTTCTAACCATATTTACACTTGCTTTCTGCAGTGTTACTAGGACTTTTCTCAGTATAAAATTCAATGTTTAGCACGTATGGTTATCAGATCTTGCTCTTATGATGTAACATTGTCTTTCATGATGAAGTTCTTTAGTAACTGCTGCTATTATTAATAAAATTTTCTTTGACACACCTTGTGACTGATTCATTGACAATCAAGATGCTCGGCTATGAAAATTGTATTCTGTGTATTAAAAGTTACCTAACCTACTAATTTATAGTTTATTATCACTCCAACAAAGGTTTGATGAAGTTCTGTTGAAAATTGTAAGAATACAAAATGGCCACATACTTGCAATGTCTGGGCTCCGAGAGAAATACTACTATTAAAGCTGGGGAACTGAACCCTTCATTATTACTTATTACTCCTACACATTTTGTTGAAGTAACATTGATTAGGCAAAATGGTCTTGTAATTAAATAACTTCCGACCAAATGTAAGCTCATTAAATGGGTCAGAACTAAAGTAAGCTATAAATTACTGAGGCCTGTTCTATAAAACAAACCAAGAAGTACTTAATGTCATTGACCTATATACAGGAAAGCTGAAACCTATACAGTTTAGAATGAACTGAATCATCTATTGTTCAGATTCAGAGGGAGATATTGCAGTTAAGTTTTGGGAACTGGCACCCTCAGTGTTAGTTATATTTGTTCATGGGCAGGGATGTCAAGAGCCAGCCCAGGCCCACCTTTCAAATCTATTTATCAACTTTTGCCAATTTTTCATAAAAGAAATTTAGGTGACAAATATCTAAATGAATCCATGAAAAAGCAGTATGCATTTCTAGGGAGCTTTGGAATATCCCGCTGCCAGGCTCCTGGAGCAGCTGCCCCCCCCCCTCTTGTCAGTCCTGTTCATGGGTCCCCACCTTATATATGTTGAAATCATATTGATTTGTAAGATGGCCTTTTGGTGCTCTGAGGGCTCTATTGAACTTCAAACTGGGGGAACTGATCCCCTTAGCTTATAAGTTTTTTGCATCATGAATTATCTTCCTTTATATTTTGATGACATGTCACAGGAAACAGCAGTGGCTAACAGCACAAAATGGGTATACCTAGTAAAATAGGTATTCATCCAAGAGTTGCTCATCTGCATCAAATAAAACATTTTACAATTAAGATAAAATTTAATAAAACAAGAGTTCACTACACAGTGTGCTTAAACATTAGGGTGGGGCTTAATCTTCTACATTTTTAATGAAAAATGTTTTACACTAACTATTGATTTAAGATTTATATTATTACTAAAAATAAGAAGCATAACACAGAGGATTTTTATATATGCTTAATGAATTAGTAAAACTTGAACACATAAAGGTATAACATTAATTGATTTTAACTGCAGAAATTATAATAAGTGGAATTGAAAGCTCTTTCATAGATCAAAAATAGTTTCAGCAAATTACCGAATCCTCTCCTATACAGGAGTATCAATAGCACTTAACTTTGAATGTACTGCCTTTGGGATTTGCCTGAAATTTTGTAGTAATGTTTTTATTAAGGTGTGTGTGTTATAGCAAGTTACAGCAACATCTCTATGAGTAATTATATATTTTGTACAAGCAAAGGTTACAAGTCATCTTGACTGTTGTACTTACAACTTAAAGTGAGTTACCTTAAGGAAATTCTTTAAGCAGCAACTATTAGTTTGTACAGTCTGTTATATTTATAAATGTATAATACAGTAATAAAACAATCTTTCTAACCTGAATTCTGATGACCTTACTTGTCATGTACTCTGAGAAATTCTATTATTGTAAAAACTTTTAACACATAATTCCAACATTTAAACTTTTAAGGTTGAATAAGATTAGAAAAAAAACTGATTCACTAAAGAAAGCAATAAATGACAAGGTTCTGATCTTTCCTAAATATACATTATCAGTTATATTTTGTATGTTCCAGTTGGCCATCACATAAAAAATAACAAATTATTAGTAATGTTGATAAAGGAAGTGTATAAAGCTGTTTCTGAACTTTTTCTTTTTAATGAACAAAATACGAGATAATGATAAAAAAAAGTTTATTTGGTTCATATTTATGGGCGTGGCAGCTGCAAATCAGAATTAAAATATGAAGTGCTACATTTTTAAGCTGTTGACAAATTACAGTACAACTAACAAATTTTCTTTCTAGTTGTGTAAAATCACAATAAAACATTTTTATCATACATTGTCTCGTTTTCATTTATCAAAAAAAGCCGGATACTTTATTTAGCTTTCATTTGAATTAATGTAGTTTGGAGTTTTTTTATTACATAACTTTTCAATAAATGTCTGCCACAATCTAGGTCATTTATCAAATGTACATATGTATAAAAAGAACTGCCACATTTTGTGAAATGTCTAGTAAGAACCACGTTTTTTTTTTTTAAATTGCAAGAAATAAAACTGCAGATCTTTTTCTTTTCTTTGGCACAAAGTTGACTTCTGATGCTTAACTTGTACTGTTTTCAGCTGGATAATGGTAATGAAAAAAGAACTTAAGTGTTACAAAAATAGAAAATGCTTCCAAAAGCAGTACAAAAATAGAGAGTCAAAGTTAGCAAAAGTTTCTTCTTTGCTCAAACTTGAACACGGGGAACAGCTGCTATTAATATCCAACAATAAAATCTTGGAACTTTTATAAAAAACGTTCTTTCTTTTTGCTCTTCTCTTGCCATAAAACTCACTTTCGATAGACAAATCATAGTTGCTTACAAAATAATTTAATGTGTTTTGCTTTTCAAAATCAATTAGAGGATATATATATAGTCATAACAATAAGTTATGAAAAATATCTGCAGTTTATTTGTCTACATTGTTTACAAAGTATGAAACATCCAAATCTGGGTGAAAATACACTAAAATTTGGACATATTTAAAAATGTTAAATACTTTTTAGTTCTTATAATACTGAAAAACATTTTCAATATTAGAATCCTTCTTGTTAGAGGAGTTATCTATCTTCTTTACCATAAATTTTGCTTGGCATTTGTGTATATAATTTTTTCAATAAAAAGCATCAGTACTATTGTTTTTTTTTATAAAAGAATAAAATATTCTAAGACTGACAGATGTAAATAATCATAAAAGATGATGATACATGCAATCAATATACTAATATTTATAAAACAAATTGGCAAGATAGCTTACTTATGTATTATATTTTTTATAAATGTCCTTCCATGCTATTTCTCATATAATCATCAAGTAAAAATACATACAAAATAATCTTCCAAATATTATAGATTTCACAAAGGCAAAAATTTCAGATCTTAAGTTACAAAATAAAATGTAAATGTCAGAAAAATATGAGTTTAAAATAAACTTTGAAGAGGAGAGATACTTTTCTAGCACTTCTAATTATACTGTACTGAACATGACTTCATACTATATATTTTACTACATTTCAGCAATACTTAGAAGAAACAAAAGTGACATGCTTTCGTCACTATAATTAAACCTTAAACTTCACATTTAAATTCAAACACAACAAACCTTTTTACAATTATAAGTGACAAATACATGACAAAACTTTTTACATTTATAACAGATTTTCCAGTATCACACTGACTTCCAAACACAATAATACTTTCTACACTTACACTAAAGTCACAAACTTCTTGCCCAGCAAACAGTTTTCCATCTAACCCACTAATTATACACTAAGTATTTCCATTCAAAACCTAAACAGATTCATAAATCACCTCCCTCAAAATAGCTCTAAAATTCCACACATAAACAATTTTTGTTAATTATTTTAAACTTACATACTAAAACTTAACAAATCTCTGAACAGAAGAAAAAAATTCTTCAAGCATTTCTTTTCATAAAAATACTGGCTTTCCATGAGATTGCCTAGATGGTAGGAACTGACTTTAAAATTAGGAAAAAGGACATATCCTCAAGTTAAATGAGAGTGCAAGATCTTTGGTTAAACAGAAAAAACATCATTTGCTTTAGTTATGTATTTACTTATTTGATCACATACTAAGATGTTACTTTGTATTTTGTACATTTATTTTAAATTTTTGCAAGTGCCAACATGTAGTTATATTCAGATTACACTAAAGACATAATTGTTAACATTCAAAGATCCCAAATGCAGATTACAAAAACAGTGATAACTTTTTCTTCTCTTTATCAAACCATATTGTATATATATAAAGAACTTTATTACTAATAGTATAGATTCCTGATAATAATGTATTAAAAATTTACAATTAAAATGCTGGAGTTTTCTATGAACAGACAGTGTTTCAGTCTCTGCAATGAAGTTTTTAAAAGACAAAATTCTGCAAGTTTCAAAAACCAAGGAAGGAGCTCTCCATAAGAAACTCCGATGACTAAAATTTCAAAGACAAACCTAAAAAGCTTTACTGCATTCAAATTCAAAGTACAAAACCCTTAGGAATATACAAAAACATACAACACTCATCTTATAAATTTTTTGTACCTGCAAATTTTTATAATGGTTTTGTAATCCAGCTTTTGATTAATTATTATTATTATTAACAAACCATAAAGAACTAAAATCACTGTTTTCCATAGTTTCAGTGGAGTAAGCATTTTAAACCTGTTAAAAGTTCTTCACTTTAATATCAGACTTCACCACAATAAGGAACTTGAGACAAATATATTAAGACTTAAAAGAGCCATAATTTTGTTACATATAACCATAAAAAGAGTTCCGCTGATTGAGGTTAAGTTAGTTTGATTTTTTTTAAAACAAGGAAAAACTCATGTAAAAATAAGACTTTCCCAAGCACCAATACAACTTTAACATTTTATTAAATATACCTACCTTGAGCAATTCAATTAAGATGCAGCAATATCATATATTTAACATTAATATTAGTCACTAATATTTCTGAAAAAATGTGTAATACAAAACGCTGCACAGAAGTTTCTTGGATTTATCAGTCACCATGTTATTAGTAGTTCTCAAATGATTAAAAAAATCTTGTTAATTAACGTTTCCTCTTATCTTAGCATAGCAAATGAAATCATGTAATTTTTTAATTAGGTGAGATTAGTTTAATATATAATTAAACAAGTATACTATTCATTACAGAAACAAATATAATTTATAAACCCTGTGCTTATAAGGTTAAGATGAACATAGCTAAGATAAATTTTTGATTAGTAAATATTCCATTAAATAAATATGACATGAACAGGCAGAGCCACAACCAATTAAAATTGGGGATCAGGGCAAGTCCTTTGATACTGGCCTCCCAGCAGGACCACACTGACAAGACTTGCACTGTTAACACTGAATTTCCAGGACTTAAAAACAAGTATTTTGTCAATATAATTAAAAAATAATAATAATTAAAATTTGCCCCAAAGCACAAGCATGGGACAACTGTCTCAGTTGTACCTGATGACACCCTTGTGTACAGGTTAAAAGGCAAAATTAGGCATAGCTTCTAGTATATATAATTATAGATTTATTATAACATCAGTAATAAAATGGTTGAATTAAATTCCTTCTCATGAAAGGTTAACTTTCACGTGTTTCCTTCACCAACATCTTATTAGAATAAAGTATGTTAAAAGGCTTTTTCTAAATTTTATCTTTCCCACTCTTTTGGGATAAACATGTCTAGGGAATTACCATCCCTCATCAATAATTGAGGGATAAGATGAAGAAAGACATGGACCATGCCACAAGTTTAGGGAATTACCATCCCTCATCAATAATTATGGGATAAGATGAAATGAGACATGGACCAAGCCACAAGGTTAGGGAATTACCATCTCTCATCAATAATTGTGTGATCAGGTGAAGTGAGACGAGAATCAAACCACAAGTTTAAATAATTACTGTGGAATAAGATGAAGAAAACCAGAGATCAAGCCTTACATATAGCACAAAAACACCATCCACAGTCTAACTTGTGTACTCAAGTGCAGTATTAACTCAATTAACTTGTCATGAAATCTCAAAGATGGAATGTTGAAGACTTAGAACATTATCCAACAATAAGTACAATTAAAATGTATATCAAGTGATTTTGAAGTTCACATTTTTACAAGTGGAATGTCTCAAACTTAAAATGTAAAATTAAGATACCAATAAGTACAGTATAAACATACAAAAGAAAAGTAACTCTTGAAAGTACCTGAAAACTAAAATTTTGAACATATGTTCAATATTTACTCAAGTTTTACCCCATCTGGCTAATGTTGAATAGAATATAGAACTTTGACAAACAGCTAACAATAAAAATTTTGGAATGAAAACATTTATGTACGGTTAAATTTCAGTTTTACACATGCTATCACAATAAAATACAGAAATCATTAGATAAGTCAAATACTCTTAAAATGTCCTCTAAGTAGTAAAACAAAAGATATAATCATTCAAGCTTCTGAGAAACTCGTTGCTTTTAATTCGAGCAACAGTCGCTTCAGAATATTTTTCAAATTGCCTTAAATATACTCTTAATTCTTCCATTATATAAACACACACACACAAAAACAGATTATTTAATTCTCAAAATAAATGGATTCTTTTAAACACATTAACATCATCCAAATTCTCTCAACTGCTCATAAAATCTGAATATCTTAAAACAAGAAACTTTAGGCATAGTGAAATACAATACTTGTACTTAATATGGGAAACATGCATATACATTGTACAATAGAAATAAGACAGAAGAAACACTCATTTAAGTGGTGGTGCAGCTGCTCATAAAAAACAATGAATCAACTCTACAGCTTTCCAACAACTCACAAGCACTTTGCTTATTTGTTCTACATAGTTTTCCAGTGACTTGCAAACACTTCTTTTACTGTATATTCTTCAACTTAAGAAATTTCTTATTCACTCTAACTTACTTCGAAAAATCATTAAGGCAGCTTAAATAATAATAACATTTTTTTTTGAGCCACTAGTAATAATTTTCCAAATGATGGCAGGGCAGACCTTTTTCTTTTCTTCAAAGTCTGAATACATTTTAAACAAACCTCATTCATGAAATAACCTATTAATGCTTGAGAACTTTAATTTTGTTTAAATTGCCTTTCTTGCAAATCCTTCTCATACTGTTTCTTCAGACGTTTCTTTAGTTCTGCTGGAAATTTTTCAAAGCATTTCTTACAAAGAGGCTTCAAATCAAAGTCAAAAAATCTCGACCTGTAAAGGATATGAAACTTTATCAACAAGTGAAAAAAAAAAACACATTTAAAACTCGACAAAAACAAAACTTTCTTGGCCTTTTTATTGTTTAATGGCTTAATCAATTTATGTACAATAAAATGTTATACCTTGTACCCTTAACGAAGATAACAGGCAAAACACTACCTAGTTAGCCCCTTCTGCATCAGACTTCTTTGGATATGAGCTCAAAAAAATCCAGATTGTTTAGTTTGCTTTTTGATATCCTGCACTTATATATTAATGAAAGAAAAGTTATTTTTATGATCTGTTATTATATTTCTGCACAAAATATACTTGATAAATAAATGTCAAATATCTGAATTTATACATGATATATATTATTTCATTAAAACTACAGTGCAGAATAGGAATGCTTTTCTACAGTATTCATGATAAATAAATCTGATAGAGATCAGCACAAACAAATTTCCAATGCCATCTAGTGTGTACTATTTGTAATTAATGATAACATGCATGTAAATTTGGGAAAATATTTTTGAAATATGCAAGGCAGCCAAGTTATCTCAGATAAATCACAAAAGTGGTTAAACCAATTTTTCAGAATTAACTTTCAAATATGATTTCCATCATCCAGTCAATAATACTACAGCAATAATATGTATTACATTTTTCAAAATATAATATAAAAAATGTTATGCAAATCATGAGTAAGTTATTGGTAATCACCATTACTGCATTGCTGTTTGGGTTATAATGCTTAAAATGCTGTTTAGATTGTTACACACACATCCAGATGAATTTGTAACCTTAGGAAAATACTGAAATTAAAGACACCACACATTTATATTTTTCATAATGATTTTTACACAGAAAATTTCTATTATTTATTCATCATTTCACAGTGTATACTTGATCATTCACGTTTGTGAAAAACGTTATTATCAACCTAGTTGTGAAGTCCATATATACAAGCTGGAGTACCTGTCACCTGGATGGAAGTTATTAGAAATTCATGATTAAAGAAAGGTTATCATAGAACATGAAAAGTTGCTTCCCTTATATGTAATTGTAAGTAATGCAAAAATGCCCATAAAAACTGCAAAACACAAAATGTGAAACTGTAAGTTTGCATGTATCTCTGCATGGACCCAACAAACCTTCACGACGAATTTGGTGAAGATCCATATATACAAGCTGGAGTACCTGTCCCCTGGATGGAAGTTATTATAAATTCATGGATGGATTCATTCAGGGGATGAAGTATTGGTAAAAAAATGCCCATAAAAACTACAAAACTCAAAATTTATAAGTATCTCCCCATGGACCCAATGAACCTCCATACCAAATTTGGTCAATATCCATCCACACCTTGCGAAGTAGTTACATGAACAGACAACAGACAGTACTATTATATTTATATAGATATATATGAATTTTTCTACCAAAAAGGTATGAACACAACTACTACTTGTTACGATAAGAAAACACAGAAAACTTACTTGCTGGTGAGTTTTCCATCGCAGAATGAACAGCTGAAGTGGTTGATACACCAAGCTTTTTTAAAAACTGTAATAGCTAGAAACAAAACAGAAACAATGGTAAAATCTTTAGGTCTTAGCTAGAATATTATATATCATTAGAATGTCATTTCTAGAACAAAATATACTGTATTTCAGAACCATTTGTTTATCATTACACATTTTAAAATGTCATAAATGTATTACTCATAAACACAAATATGTACAACAGAACTCCATTTATTCCTATCCATCCAGCTGGATGATCAATGGTCCCTTTAAATAAATGAAATCATCTAATACTGTCACAGATCATTCATAAATGCTTGTTATTCCCAATAACAAATATATGCATTATTGAATGATAAATTTAAAGCTCATTAGGCCTGGGAATTGCCATTAGGACTTATTCAAACAATAAAAAAGTTTTCCAAGTTTTTATTACGAGTCACTGTAAAAGGAGGTTAATGTCACCCTCCTGTCGGTGGATAGCTCTCATTGCATGATGATGTCATCATATATTAGCATAGTTCATGTTAGATAAGTGGTTTTAAGGTGGGAGTTAACTCAAGGCTAGTGGCATGCAAATCTTATAAGCAGATGCATGAGGAATCAAGCTATTTTGTGCGAAGAGATGAGGTATCATCTCGGAAGATAAACTCTTTATTAGGTTTTTTTAGCCTGCTAGTTTCAGGGACAAAGTTACCATCATGAAACCCTGACAATGGTAACTGTGTTACCAAACTAACCACCTGAAACAACTAATAACTTTTCTATTTATCTAGCATGGCAGTAGAACAATGAATAATATCCACTTTTTTCTCAACATATTTTTCAGTAAAAACAAGTAACAAAAGAATGAATGCATATGGTTATAAAATTACGTTTTAAACTACCAACAACAAAAACTATACTTACCATCACCTAATATTACACTATTGCAGACAAAACAAAGATTTCCAAACAGCTGATGATAGTGAGTTTCACAGTATGCAAGACCTCTTTTTTCGTAGTGACGATGACCCAAAAATGGTTTCTCACACTTGGCACATACAAAATGCTGAAATTGGATAAAGACATTTACATCCTCCTTTCTTTTTTTTTTTCTTCCTCTCTCTCATCATCTTAATCAATCAATTATTTTTACTAATACATTTGAAAATATTTAATCCCTTATGTACAATAATTCATAAATAAAATATTTTAAGAAATTACTTTTCACTAAAGAAATACAGATTTTTTATAGAAATAACAATGCATAGAGAACAGTCTTCTTGTTGGATATTAAAATTAGACTAATGATAAGTGAAATATCTGAACTTATAAACAGTCTTTTTTGTGATGTTCCATTATATTTTCTAGCCTAAAAGCTTTCTTTCATAATTTAGCTGTGATGATGAATATTTTTTCCGGACTTATAGTATGTATATACTTTATCAGTATGATATATATATAGATATATGCAAATAAAAAGTTTCTCTTTTTTTTTCTTAACCAATACTATAAATGGTTAAATAATCTGTAATGAGGATTAGATATTGGGTAGTAAAAAATATAATAACTGTATAGCACAAACTCATAAGCTACATGTAAAAAAAACAACAACAAACTAAGTTTAACTGAATTTATGACCATTATGAAAATCATGAGTATTATACTTATAAAGAGGAATAGACTTTACAGCATGACTCCTATTAAATCATGAGCAAACACGTTTTGCTAAATTGTGGAATACAAAAAAAAAAGTGATTTGTTACAGCTATTATTTCCAATAAAATATCAAGTTCATTTTATCAGTACTAATGTCAGCCATCAGAAAATCCTGGACTATAAGGATTACTGTTACACCAACTAAAGGTGTAAAATTCATATTACTCATCATCCAGGACAACAAGATCTGTCTGAGGAACAGAAGTTTTACCATTACACTTTACCTGTTGGATGAATAGTTGTTTTTCACATCATTTGTTCTAATTCTAGACAAACTTTTTTAGTAAATTTCTAGGGAGCCCAGCAAGTTCTTGAAAACTCTGAACTGTGGAAGTTTAGCAAATACACATGAACATTTAAAAAAAATGCATATCTCTAACACTCATACCAAATAAATACACACAACTAGATGTACTTCCACGGGGTCCATGAAAGTGTTATGTTTCCAGAGTAAATAAAACCAAAATTAAGAGTAACAAATATTTTTATTTCTTGCTTATGAAGTTCAGATATCATGCTGTGTTGTAGCCTACAGAGTGCATAATTCTTCTTGGTATAGTGGGGCGAGCAGTTAAAATAGGAGACCCCTCCAAGCAACCTTCAGCCCCCTTTTGGGGAAAATATGCATATTCCTTTAGTTCACAAACCTAGTAACAAGTGTACTTAAATTAATGCAACAACATTATTATTTTTTTCCTATATGTTCAGACCTTTAAAATTTAAGGTTAAATATATCTAGAAATACTAAATGTAATAAATATATATATATCTAGGAAATGGTTACGAAACAAAATAAGTTTTTTTTTATTTATAAAGCTCAAGATTGACTGTGCCTATATTTTTATACAATATATAATGGATGTTACTTAATTAATACAATAGTTTTTTATTATACAGCCACACTCATTAACAATGTCTAACACAAGCTGAGTTAATCTTGGCTGTGAACCACGTGTATTAGAAGGCATCCGTGATTACTTAAAATCATTTATACATCATAGCACATAATTTAAAAGTAATGGTAAAGGAGAAGGTTGTATACTACTTTATTAGTGATAAATGTTCATAAAGATGTGTGTGTGTGTGACTATTTCGGATATCAATTGATCAATATGGAAATAATTTACAAAATATGTCACACTGAATGATCAATTTTTCGGTAACCTACTTTTTCAATAAAATCTAATTTATTCAATACTTTATGTTTTTTCATTACAAAAAAATGATATTCTCATAACTGGCTGTGAAGGAGGAAATTTAGGTCTAGAGGTAAATTATGAGATTGGGCATCCAAATAATCTTCCCAATTTTAAACAAAATTTATACTTCATTCCAGATCTCAGCAAACAAAATGAGAAAATCTGACAGTTGGATTATTCCAAATAACGTATGAATACTTTATTTTTTGCAAATCTCTTTTAGTAAGCTACATCCCATCATTCCCACGTATATGACACTAAGATTTTAGCCTTTTGCTGTTGAATGAAATATTAAATACATCTACTTTTAAATTACATGAATCTGACTAATTTACTTATTAAAACAGTACTTAGTGTCAATGTATGATACTTAGAATTAGCAAGAAAAATTATTTCTGTTACACATGAAATAAAACTATATTTGAAATAAGTCTATACATGTAACTTTTTTCCTGCATTACCAACCTCATTCTTCTTTTATCTAGATTCACGTCCAATAAAAAGTATAAATTATGCAAACAATTCAGAATTATCTTTAAATAACCAATTTTGTAAAAACTAAAATACATTTACGAAATTTGACATTGCTGTAACTTACTTCCATGTGGGATCTAATATAATAAGAGAAATAATGACAGGAAACAAAGAACCGAGCTTTACAATACCCACAGTTCACGATGAAATCCCCTGCAGGATGGAATAACATTAATACGATTAATAGAGATATCTTACTTCAACGTGCCATTGTTTTCCCAAAGCATGCACAACTCTTTCTTCTATTGGTCGATGACAGGCACCACAGATAGGTATTCCCATGTTGTCATGGCAACGTAAACAGTACAGCTCTTTCTTTACCACCCGGGCATCTGACGTCAACTCTACTCTGATATATCATAGAGGAAGAGTTTGGGTTTAGTTATACAGTAATTATATGAAGTAATTAACACATTCAACAAACCTACAACTTATTATCACTAAAATACTGGTGAAGTGGTTTTTCAGAATAAAAAAAAATTGAATAAAATCGAAAATAGGAACAACACTTAAAAATGCACAGTAAAGTTTTTATAGGCATTCAAAAAAATTGTTCCTGCTTTATTTATTTTTTCCACAAGTTTCCTTAGGTGAATTTTCACATTTCAAATGTGTATTTATCTCAAAACAAAAATATTCTCCTTTCTTTTTTTTTTTTAACTTTTACCAAGCATTCTACCCTTAGAAAACTTTATTTTATATTATAAGAACAAATAATTTTTTTTATTGTGCTATATGGTTCCCTTCCTAGAATGTTATTGAACTTCCAAAGGTTTATCAGAGAGGTTGTTCTATGAAACCTATTGTTCCAAATACAGCCACTTTCAATCACAAGTTTGCAGGTAATCATGTCTAAAATTTTTTGTAAGATTTGCTATTACTTTGTGTACACTGAGAAAAGTTTTAAGTTGAGATTTTGCAGTCAGTTTAAATACACTGCAAAAATGTTTTAAGATGAGATTTTACTATTAGCTAAAAACATTTTCTCAGTTTATATAAACTAAGATTTTGCTGTTAGCTTATATAAACTGTGAACAAATTTTAGCTGAGATTTTGTTATCAGTTTACATACAATTGAGAAAAGTTTTTAACTCTGCCTTGAGGTACAGAGCATCAGGTTTGCTAGAAATGCTTATATTTGTTAGTATTTACGAAAATCCACTCCATAATATCATCCTGCTAAGACAGACGATATAACTGCATACAAGTCTGGTTAACCCTATCTAGACAGATTTTGGTATGGGTTGGGGTCAGCGGGAATGTCATCACTTTTATAGACTTACATTCAACATTTTATTGAACTACCATTTAATGAATGTATGTTAATAAGTTTGTTATCAAATTGTAGATTCTAATTCAAATTTTAGTATTATACATTAGTTAATTTCTTAATGTAAAAGTAAACATTAAAAATGCTAAATATCGATTTTTGTGTGTCACGTGGTATGTTGAATGCAGCTTTGGTTCAAATTAAATGTTTGCGATGTCCAAATACACAGTCTATAGTTTCTTATGAATTAGAAACTCAAATTACCGATATTGACAAGCTAGAACATAAAATAAGAACCTCCTATCTTTTCTATTTTCTGAGATATTATTACATTTAGTGAATCAACCAAGGTGGCCCCCCACCTACCTCCTACATTTTTGGAAATACTTGCTTATGTACACCTACTTCTCTTAATGACATGTCTATAACCAATCAAAAGCTTAATTTTTTTATATAGGTTTTATATATGCATTTTAAAATAAAAATACCACAGAATTCCACTATAATGTATCAGGCTTAGTAACTAAGCTGTATTTGGGTCTAAAAAATATATTTTTCAAGCTCTGTTATCTCTTACTTCTATTTTACTATGAAAAGGAAAGTTTTCCCATGTAAATGCTTCATAAAGGCTGAGAAAACCATGTGGGAGACATTCTGTTCTGTTTTACATCCTTCACATGCAAAACTTGACAAGGCTTAGCAAATTATGCCAAGCACAAACTTCATAAGTAAAATGTTTTAAGAAAATGTATTACATTTATTTTGAAAAGTTATTAGGTCTTTGTTGTTGTTTTTTTTGTCAAACACACACACACACAAAGTATATTCAGAACATTAAAAAGAAATATTTGTACTTACCCACATTTGGAACAATTAAAATGATATGGATGATAAGTCTCATCTGATATTCGTAATGGATCTTCATCTATAGCACCACTGAACAAATTGAAAATAAATGTATGAATTAATTGTATAAAAATAAAGATTGAATATTATATTACAACTCAACAATGTACCAAATCTGGTATTCAAATACAATTTAAATGATTGAGATAGTAAGTAGTATCAAACTAAATATAAGCTTAACCAAAATGTTTATATATTTCTTTTCATTTTATAGTGTTATATGTTTCATTTCAACCTTTAGTAACTGAGTACAATGATTAAAAAATACATATATTATATACTCTTAAAACTCCTAAAATAAACATCAACTTAAATTGAAATAGAAAACTGTGTAAACTAAAATGAATTTTTATATATAAATATTTTTATCATGGGCAACTAAAATATCAATTATTTTATGAAACACTAGCTCTTTTTTTTTTTGCACAACTCACGTTTAGGCATTATAATTATTGATCATTTTTATTATAAACTACACGTGATAGTCATAATAAATAGGTACCAAAATACAAATACTCTACACTGGATTTTCTAACTGTAATATAACCTGGACATGCTAGTGGTTACAATGGAATACCAAAATACAAATACCCTACACTGGATTTTTTAAACATCATCATATAATACACAAGTGTATATTTTAGTACACATTTGACTACCATAAAAGTTGCATTCAAAAATCTTAAAATTTCTCACTGAAGAGGAGAAAGGGATAAAACAGAAAAGAAATAAAAGCCAGAGGAATATCACACAAACCACTGGAAGGCCAACTCCATCAACGTTGAAAAAGGTATGGACATCAAAACCATACCTGGCACATGGAGGCTGTAAAACCCAAGCCAAAAGGATGGGAGAACATTCACTAGCATTTATATATACGTGATTCTATCCTTGAATTGAAATATAAGAATAATATTATCTGAACATTTTGTTCACACCAAATAGTCGTATATATATATATGTTAGCAAGATAGTATCCTAGCTGTCTACAAAGGCTCACCCATGGGCTACTGGTCTACACCACCCAACTTGTAAGAAAGTTATAGCCATGCATGAACAGGAAGAACAAGTAAATGTCAAAGAAGACAATTGTAGAGTAATAGTGGAGAATAGATGGATTTATGAATGGATAGGTCCAAAATTAGTAGAAAGCAATAGACAATGTACAAACAGTTGCTCATTATGCATTGCACAGAACAGAATCAGAAAACTATCTAACTTTCCCAAATTCAGAGAATGCATAGTCAATAACCTACTAACAGACGATTTCAACTCAATATTTGTTTACAGTTAAGCACAAAGCTACACAATGGGCTATCTGTGCTTTGCCCACCACAGGTATTGAAACCCACTTTCTAAAGTTGTAAATCCAGAGATATACTGCTGTGCCACTTGGGGACACCTAACTCAATATAGTGGGACACATAAGATTAGAGTAAAAAGTTTGGTTTCACAGTTTTGTGTGCTTGAGATTAACTATTTCCCTTGGGTGGATGTGTGATGAGAATGAAATTATATTCTCCTCAAAGGAAGGTAGAACAGAATAAGAGACTTAATCTAGGATGTACTAGATCTGGGACTGAGCATCAGCTAGAAGAGGCAAGTAAAATTCAGAAGCAGAAGTGGTCTAATGATGGAAGTGACAAAAAAAATTTCCTACCCTCCTTTTGTGTGATTGAAAGATTAATAGATAGATATACCTTGATAGCTGTAACACCTAAAAATGCCCAACATAATATTTCAAAAGTGAATTTTTATGCCCTGAATCCAAAAGTTTTTTGTTACATGTATGGTGTTTTCACAAACAGACTGTGCCTCAAGTCAGGAACTTTCACTATTAAGTATATATAGGAAAATCCTCACCCTACTTGCAAGTAAGCCAGAATGGCTCAGTGATAAAAGTTGACAGGGTTTTGTTGTACAAGTAAAATGTTCAAATTAAAAATCCACTGAATTACTTTTTTTTATAGATTTTTCGATAAAAATGTCTACAAAACTTACTGAGTATATCAAATAAAATACTTTTGAAACCTATAAAAAGAATTTTGTTTGAGCTTTATAAATTAAAAATGTTTTCAAAACCTTTTCTTTAAGCTGAATAAAAAAATAGTTGTTCTTCTTAACTGATAGAAAAACAGAATGGTCATTTTAGTATCAAATTTAAATTCTTTCCACTACAGACATTTAATGTACTCACCGACATTTAACACAAATAATCTTTCCACTGACAGCTGCCTTTTCTTTGGTATTGCAATCATGACACAGTGCTCTATAAAAAAAGTAACAGTAAAAATATTTTCTCATGACTTCGAGGAAACTAAAAATTTAAAAATCTTTTCTAAAAATGATAAAAGACATCTTTCTGTCTACATAATTAAGTTTTTAATCACTGTACAAAACATCGAAGCTTCACAAGATATCACACTGGTAATAATTATGAATGAACAAATGTATAAATATGTACACATACAAACATTTATCTTATAAAATACTGAACAAATGGTCACAGGGCAAAGTTTAGTCATTTTTACAGTGTCAACACATGTGACACAGAAAAATAAAACAGCAAACTAAATTTTAGGAAGAACTTGTCAACTGAAAAATATATTTTATTTAAGAATAAACAAGTAAATATGGTTAAGAAATTTTCTTTTACCACTAAATTTTTACTTGACATCATTAGATGTACAATTGTACAATTCCAATCAAAACTTGTCACCTGAAAATGCTAGGTAAATGTATGAAGTATTTGTGGAATACAAACACTAAGTATATGAAATATGTGAAGATTTTCAAGAAGTATATCTTTATTTTATGACATATATATATAAGTATAGTGTGGAAAAAACAGCAGAGCAAAAATGTTACAAGAAAGTGTGGGCAAACCACAATAACAGATAAGGAAGATGCAGGCTTGAGGCCCATAGTATTCCAGCCGTGACTTCATGGTAAGAATTTACAGCTCAAAGACGTGATACGTTGAGAAAATTCCAATAGTTAGATAAAACGAATGACAAAATGAGCCAATGTCACAAAAAAAAAGCAGTTAATGGGACAGTGATGAAAGACAAGGGTGAGATGTTGCTAGTGAAGAGTCCAGCATTACAAGGTTTGTCTCTATACATCATAAGTTAATTGTCTTGGATGATTGAATAGTGTATTTGTTGCTCGAAGATCCCATTTGTACCTATCAAGTTAAAAGAACTACTTTTGAAAGTAGATCTACTAAACTTCTCAAACAATCAGAAAAACACTAAAAATTGTCTATATAATTTTGTGTTTCTGACTCTAAACAGCACTTCTCTGCACTTATCAAGTTGCCTTGGGAAATTGTTCTGACTTCAGAAAATGGAAGATGGCAGTAACCCAGAATCTACAAGTTCACTGCACAAACTTCTTGTAAGTATGCTATTTCTGCTCTAGTCTAACAGTGTTTCACTGAAGGTTCAATAATGTATAGAGAGAGAAAAGTGAAGAATACTAACTGTACTAAGGAAATAATATATTTGAAAATGCTTAAAGTGAAATTACTTAGAGATATCTTTGAAGTTATATAGATTATGACTGAGAAACTTTCTCATGTTAACTTAATTGATAACTTAACTAATGTTATTGAATGTAATAGAAGGGCTTATTAACGAACATCTACTTTCAAAATGAAGAACTCAATGACTTAGAAATAGTGTTATCACAAAACAACCTTGAGAGTTTTTGATATAAATGAACTATTCAACAATGTATAAATAAAGAAGTTATTTTGTATTCAGTTGTCCCTGTGTGAGTTCGTTACTCAACACGTAAACTTCCTCGAGTTTGTAGCTTGTGTGCTCTGCTCGCGAAAGCATGACCCAAAATCCAAATAAATTTCTTTGAATTTAATATAAAGTCAAACTAATGACTAAGCCCACACATCCATTACACTTAGCAAAATTTAGTGGTTTTTAAAAATATTTAATCATACTTATTTGGTTATCCACAAATGAATAAACAAGAGAGAGATTAAAAGAAATCCTACTCCTATAAGTGGAAATGGCTTAATATTTTAAAAAACATATAATCAATTCAAGCAAGTTGTGAATGAAATAACAAATACTTATTTGATATTTTTTGCCAAAATTACTTGGAAGCCAAAACTTTATTCTACCATGTGAGTGGTTTATCTACTGTCCTCACTTAAAATAATATATTCATCAATCCTGCTCAAGTGACAAGTCAATTAAATCATTTTTCTTTCAAAATTTTGTACTTAAACCTTCATACATTTACATAATTTTGCTTTCTTTCACTAATTTTTCCACCAACTTTCTTTTGAGACACAAAATAAACCAATAAAATATACTGCAGTAAGTTTTATAGTCGAATACCATGCACTATTAGGATAATCTTCATACAGATTTACTATATTGTGAAATGTATAAAGTACTAATATTAAAATGAATATTTAATTTCAATCCCAAAATAATTTTCCAATAAATATACAAGACTGGTTGGAGGGACACCAGGTTGAAATAATCTTGGGACCTTTACTTATTAAGTTGCAACCCTTGCCAATAACACAATTAAATAACTATTTAGTATTTGATGTCAGTGAAAATTTTTTCCAATATACAAAGTTATGTTCATTACTGAGTATATTAAATCTTACAAAAGTATATTTTCAATCATGGTTTAATCAAACATCTATCTTAGTCCTATATAATAAAGAGTGTGTTTATAATAAATAATCATTTAGTGAAACAGATAAAAAATGGTTAAAAGTAAATAAAATACCCCAAATATTGCATTGCACCAATGTCAATAAAATTGTTTTAGCTCACTTATCATGTATAAACTAATAAATACTATGAATTTTTTTACACAGGACCACATTTGCATTAAAAACAGCAAGGATATAAAACGTTTTATCTTTCAAACTGAAAATACAAAGAGGGATAAGAAAAAATATATAGTATTTGTTTGAAATTAACAATTAAGAAAAGTTAACCCTATAAATCAATGACATTCATAATGTCCTGAATGATCATAATTCACTGAGATCCAGGTTACATAATTTTGAAACGTGGGATAGAAACAAGGTAATTTTTAATAAAGTACAAATATAATTAATCAGTAATAACAAAGATGATCAACTAAATGCCTTTCAAGCCAAAAATGTAATTAAACACCTTAGTAGGCTTATGAATTTCAATAACGTTACATTTATACTGCAATTTATGTATTAGATACTTTATGACGATCCAAACAATAAAGAATTTTTGATATCTTCAACCTACATTTTTCTAACTAAGGAAAAATTTTAAATAATTCCAAGTCAGCCCTAAGGCCTAAAAGCTTTCAAGCTTTGTTACCTTAGACCTGTTAAATGATATCAAACTGTGGATAATTACAAATGCTTAACTCTTTAGCCCTATGTGCATGGATATGGATCAAAACCTGCATGCCACAACTATTAAAATGCCATTCAACAGCATTTGATGTCAAAACTATCAACTATTAATTTCACCCTACACTGCTGAATTAGCAACAATTCATGGTAGAGGAGAGTAAATACCAAATACGATATAAAGAGATACTGAAAAACTGTGGAGGTTCTAGAGGTTATGCAAGTACAATATTCAAGCTTTACAATGAATAAAAGTATTTTTATTCTTCACATGAACATCACCTTTCACTCTAACTTGTCAGAGTTTGTAAACATCAGACTTGTATGTTTTACACGTTTCACGTTTTATGTAGATATACATAATAAATTCAGAATTATAGTTAACATTCCTTCTCTAATACTAGGCTGACCCAGTGCACAATGTTGTACCAAAAAATATGTATTAATGTTGCAAAAAGAGAGCCATGGCATACCTCCCTGCATTACTGAAAAACCCTTGGTCTGATAGCGGGACTTGACACAGGTGACAAAGAAAACAGTGTGGATGCCAATTGTTCTTCAAAGCTTTAATCACTCGCCCAGTAATGAACTCTCTACATCTTCCACAACATGGCGCATAGAGAACTTGGAAATCATATTCGCAGTATTTTCTCCCATCAAACTGACAAAAGAAAGTTTAAAATTTTTATAATTTCTAATATATAATGTGATACTCTGTGTTATTTATCCAGAATTACATACTGTAAAAAAAAACATTTTAAAATTACATTTAATTTATTAAAAATGTTAAAGAATTTTTTGCAATTTACCTTTTATGAAACTCCTTTTATAATAAGTTGATAGTTTTTACAAAACCACTTGATTTTTAGCACTGTTCTTACCTACATTTTTATTGCTTCACATTGTGAAAGTTAATTTAAAATTAATCTTTTTTTAAACAATTTAAGTTATAGGTTTAAAGAAGTACACATTAGGTACTGAAAGTGACAAATTATGAAAGATTATCAAGATGGAATTTCTTCATGACTGACTCTTATGAGGAAAATTAAAAATCAAAAAAGTTTTTTTTTATTCCATAGAGCTGAGTAGGTGGTTTGATCTATGAATGGTTTGATCTGAAGTGATTAAATTTATATGATATTTCTTGACAGTATGAACCTGTTTAATGTCAAGCAGAATTTAAATCTCATATACTGAATAGTTACATTAAAACTGCATCCTGTGAATAAGACAAAATTTTAGTACAATTATATAAACTTATGAGTGAAAGTGAGACGACTGCAATCAGATATCAACAATACTATCTGTATTTGTCACTAATAGCAATTTTAACAAATTTTGTTCAGTACTGTGATCTCTAAATAATCTGTGCTGTTCTTACTTAATGCATTCAGGAGAACTAAAAAAATATTATTTTACAACAACTTACCTCAAAAAATATACCATTGGGAAAAGGTCTAAAGCACTGGCAGCATCTATACATAAGAATAAGTGAAGATTATTTATCAGTAATATTATAAGCATATTCAAACACTATACAAAGACTGGCAAATGTCCCAAGACTAGCCATTCAAGAATTTAAAGTCTTGAAACACCCTTATGACATTACACATTCATTTTCTTGTGTGACACGTACTCCTATATGGTTTTTAGCAGTAATCTTTAATTATGAAGTGAAAGCACACTACAATCACTGAAAATTTCCTATTATAATGAAAATTATTCAAACATCAATATTTAATAAGCAAACTTAGAATACATAAAGATGTAGAAAGTATCCATACACGGATTATTGAAACTAAGCCTTGGTTTATTATAAGCACAGAGTCGATACTTTCGATGATCACTCCTCAATGTTTATAATCTAGGCTACACGTGAATATTTTGTGTTAAACTGAAGTACATCATCATTGAGAAAAGTGAATTAGGTTCTGGAAGAATGCTTTCTAATCAAATATCATTATTTTGGGGGTACTTCAGTAAAAGTACTAATATAACTTAAAATATTTTAACTAAGATATGCAATTGAAGGTTCTTGTTTGTTTGGATATTTGTTAATAAAATTTTTTTACACTGATTTCAATTAAGATAAGCTTTAGGCTGGATATTCCTAGGATGTTCATCCACTAGAGAACTTTTTTTAGCAACGTGTTTACTTTTACATTAATTTTCTCTTCATACATATTTTGTCTGATTGAATACTCATCAAAAGTGCCTACCGGTGTAAGAAATCTGGTTTCAAGTATCTATCAACACAAACTTTAACAAGTTCCATTTACTCTTTTTCTTGTGAGAAATTCATTCAGAAGATTTGATTTCTGGGATAATGTTTAAATGTACATTATTTGTGGCTTTTTCTAATTAGTATTACACTCGCTTAGTTGTTTCATCAGAAGTGTATCTGATGTCCAGGAATGTTTTTCACAAAAACGTAGCAAAAAATAATTTTCATATATAATTGATTTACAATTTCACACAAATGTTTACAGTGGTAAACTCATAACTGGTATAATAGATACAATAAATAACAAAATAAGCATTGCTGATGATAATTTGTATACTTTGTGCCAAACTTTATGATGTCACAGGAAAACTCTTAAAAGGTCTTATGAAGTCCAGATGAGCTTTCTTATAATGTATAGGTGGTCTTCAAATGTCATGTAATTGGTTTCTAAGCATCCCTTTTCAGATAACATTAAAAATACTAGTTATTGATAATAAAGAACGTGAAACTTTCAAAACAGTATTTGTTTTCCCGAGCTTTTAAAGCTTTACTATGGTCTTTCATATGATCACTAACCAAAATTTTGAGATTCAGACAAACACCAACGTTAAAAGTACAAGTAGGGTAAAATTATTCAGTAGAAACTCCAGACATATGGGAAAGTTATTACTCCAGTAAAAACTCCAGACATATGGGAAAGTTATTACTCCATTCCCGAGAGATTGAGTAAGTGTGATTTCAACATACTATATCAGTTTTGACAGTCTGCTCTTATTTGTTTCCATGACTTAATGTTATTTACAGTGTATTTATGGAGTAATAACTTTCCCATATATCTGGAGTTTTTACTGGAGTAATAACTTTCCCATGTATCTGGAGTTTTTACTGGAGTAATAACTTTCCCATATGTCTGGAGTTTTTACTGGAGTAATAATTTTCCCATATATCTGGAGTTTTTAGTGGAGTAATAACTTTCCCATATATCTGGAGTTTTTAGGAGAAAAAATATGTTAACATTTCTTAATGTATGCATGTTCCACCAAGCAATCTTAACCAGCCTTCACATTTCTGTCTTACAATGTAAAGCACAATGCAGTATAACCAATACTGGTTTTTGGAAAGTAACAGAAGCTGAGTCAAAATCAAACTTTAATCGATGTAATACCCGAAAGTAATGTTCATGTATATGGCTGCAACGATAATAAAGATCACTGAACACATGACAATGTGCATACATCACCCCATCCCTTAAATTGAGCCTGAAAATTCCCATTTTGCATAATTATCATCATTATACAAATTAATTTAAATTCTTCATAAAGATTTCCTGTTTGTTAAGGAATTGATTATATCAACTCTAAATTGACAAGTAATCACACAGTAGAAGTTTGGAAAACAACTTACATTTAATATAAAATTTAAATACTTATAGTAATAAACACTGTCTAGTTGATTACCAAGACACAATTTAAAGATCTGCATTAGAAGTTTAGAACACTTGTTTTTGTCAAAATAGTTTGACATCTCAATTAACTTTGTATTTTACCATTCTCAATCATACTGTGTTTGTGTATTAAATTTTATTTTCCCTGAACACTCTATAAAAGCAATATACTAAATCTCCCAAAACATACAGCTACAAGTTCAATCACCAATAAGTATGCCTCAGTGTCTACACTAAAGCTGCCTCTCCCTTACTCAATTTAAGTTTTAGTTAAATATGTAATAACTTTTTAACCACTCTTTACTGCTACGCTATCCAAATTTTACATCACATTCTAATAAACTGTCACTTGATCAGTAATGTTTATCCATTAGTTATCTCATTCCCATTCTAAAGGCTAAACTCATAAACTACTACAAGGGAAAAATCTTATTAAACTGAATGTTTCTTAATAACTAAAAAATTTAATTTGGGAGAAAAGTACATTAAATATATCATACAACTTACACAAAACATTCTTGATGCCAAACTTCACCTTGGGAGTTCACAATTTGCTCCTGAGGTTGGAAACCTCCATGACATCGTGAACACACCATCAGTCCTAGGGACATTGTGAACTCTACATTACCTGTACTAAATTATAAAAATATTCTTCTATAGTTGACACAGATATTGAAAACAAACCAAAATGAACTTTTTATGTAATTTTTCTTTAAACATACTGAAATTATTTTGATTTACAAATAAAAACAGGTTTACCCAAAAATTATTTGAAGTTAAATGTAATATAGTTTCAAAATTGTCAAATATCCACCTGATTAGTTCTGATGGAGTCATTACAATAAAAAGTAGTATAAATAACAAAAAAATTATTAAAGAGATTAAAAAAATTGTTCCATATATTAACCCACTTTTTTAAACTTTACAGATAACTGAAGTTCACAAATATAATACATTTAAATATATCAATAGAATAAAATCTCTGTAGAAAGACAACATTCAAATTGAAACAAAAAATCATATAAAAATGTTTCAAGCAACTGCTCTTTTTCTCAGGCTTAATATGAAAATTAAATGAATGACAGTTACAGGTTCCCAAAATTTGCATTCTCCTGTGAATGTACGACTCGAGACAAACTTCTGTTCTTCATTCAAGAAATGTACAATTTACAAAATATTAGAAATACAACCAAATGTATATTCTTTCAGCCATGAAATGAAGAACACAAAAATTCTGCTGAACTGGCCAGGCATTTGGTGCTCCCTCACAGGAAACGACAAAACCAAAATGGTTTTAGAAGATAGAAAATGACTTCTTACACCATTTTTTACAATTTTCTAACAATCATTCAAGACTTAGTAACTTATAAAATATAATCTGTTCATCAAAAAATGAAACTGGAAATTGCATAGGGGATATCATGCTTCCATTCTTAAATAAAAATTTTCATGCATATTTAAAACAGTAAACTATATTTTAGCAAATTCTCACACAACAAAAATACCTTTCTCCAAACACCCTTCTGAAGAAATTTTGTACTTAAAAGCACATAGTATTTAGTAAAATAAACACACACAAACATATGAATATATGTATTATTAAATACTATGTTGACAAGCTGCCTTCCCTCTAGTCTATCACTACTAAATTAGGGATGGCTACCCGAAGAGGAGATGGCCACCACCAGGTAACTCCGCTCCAGAATCACTAAGTATCAATCAGCATCCAAGGTGCCCAAACAGTCATGGCAGCTTCAGGACCAGATGAAACAGACATCCAGTCACCATATGGACAGCTGATTATGAAAAATGGCACCAACTTCAATGATAATGACAACTCAAAATTTACGAAAAACTGTCACTTGCTCATCTGTTTTTTTTTTGGTTTTTTTTTATGTTTCTGGCTTTGTTCGCTAGATGGCAAACTTTAGATCAGGGTCATTTGGATTTACAACAAAACCCATGCATATATTTACATTAATTGTGTGGTGACTGAGGTTCAATCTTGCCTGGACTCGCCATGTTTCAACCTCAATCAGTCTGACATATCATTTCTTAGACACCTGAGAGCATACAAAAGAATATCAAACACATTCCTTCACGTTTTGTTTATGTATGGTATTTCTCACTATGTTCACTAAGAGGCATCATTAATCAGAATTTCTCAATTTTATGGAAATAGCTGAACATGGTTATTCATTCCCAAAAAGATATCTGATTTAGGAAAAGGCTAAAAAAAATCACAACTTAAATCCTTTACATTGACTTACTCATACCAACAAAATTTCAGTTAAAAAATTAGCTGTAATCGAACAATAAAAATCAATTCTTTTCCAATCCCCAGATATAATTGTTTAAAAAAATCCTATGCTTGTTTGTTATGACCTCAAAAAAATGCACAATTGGTGAGTTAGAGAGTTTGTTTTACTTTTTATTTATTTATAGAAAGCAGGGAATATATTTATTCATGTTTATTTTCTATGTCTTGTGGCCACTTACCCATGGGTTACTTTATTTGGAAGCTGTCTGATCACAACTGTTGACCAGATGGAATAATGTAGTCTAACTTGACTAGTATGCTCTCTTGTCTACAAGTTGCTAGATCTTCTAATATCACTGTAATTTTCCTTAGGGATTAGATGAACTGCATAATCTTACACTCAGTGTACTGATACTGCATAGGTTGTTTACACTTTTTCACATGGTCTCTTAGTTAAAGCTTTTATTATCTCACTGATGGACTTTTGTAAAACAAAAATGCTGTGTTTTATGGAAACTTTTCTTCCTGACCTCCACTTCTGCACCCTTCATTCCATTCATTGACCATGAAGCACCATAACCAGCAGCAACTTAACCACATGGTCTGATTTGACTTGTGCATAAAGTAAGGTAATTTCAGGTAGGATTAATGGAGAATGGAAAGTAAAACTTAAAACACTTATGTAAGAATTGAAATCAGAATTTTCAACCTGCACAGCACCTTATGTGTACACAGGCTAAACAGCCAGATCAGGGATCACTAAAGTTCAGGTAACCAGTCAGCAGCACTTGCCATCAGAGGAGCTTTCTCCAGCTCTCTGATCCAAATAACATAATTTATTGTCACTTTTAGTATACCCACAGCGAAGCTGTAAAGCATATTATGCAGTATCGGTTCTCAAACCCTGGATTTGATTTACAGCCCAACATGCTAACCACTAGGCAATGTCCAGTTCTACATCTGAAAGACATTCCAAGATAAATTGCATATATATAAAACAATACATTGAAAATTCAGGAGCTCCAAACTTCAAGGTGGTTTACCATATACTGTTCTGCCAGCTTGATCATCTCATCCACATCTTTTGGTGCTCTCTCCTTTAGGAACAGTGATATGTCAGTTGAGCATGTGGTCATGAACTGTTCACTTATTAGTAGATCTACCAGTCCCTCAAAACTATTTTCACACTTGGCCATGTTAGTCCATCTTGTATCTCCATTGATGTGTCACTAACTGAAATACATTTTCTCCAGTGTCGAATGTGGCTTTTCTGAATTTCCATCAAAAATCTGCTTCAGTAAGTTCATAACATTTCAAAAAGGCCACTTTTAACTTGTCATAGTCCATAGCATCTTCTGACATCATGCCTGCATACACTTGTAGGCCTTTTCCTGTGTGAAGTGGGGTCAGACAGACTGCCTAGTCACCTCTGTCCCAGTTTTGACTTTGGGAGAATCTTTCATATCTCTCCATGAAAGCATCCATCTCATCTTTCTGTTCATCAAATTTGGGCAGCTTGAGTACACTAGCTTTGACCCCACTGTCATTCTTGGGTCCTTTCTCTTTCTGTTGGGTGAGCTTGGCAATCTCAATTTATGCTCTTGTTCTCTCTATTTCCAGTTTCTCCTCTCTCTCCTTTTCTTTTTCTTCTTTCTCAATTTGTATTCTTATTCTTTCCTTTTCTTCTCTTAGTCTTTCTTCCTTTCTTTTCTGCCTACACTCCTCTCTCTCCAGGTCTTGTTTAACAAACCATCTTTTAACCCAAGTTGCTCACCTCTCTACGTCCATTTATCAAAATCATTCAACATGGTTATGTAGCATGATTGTAATCTCTACACAATTTTCCCCCATCACTGCACTTGTACGTAAATAGGCCTACATCCACTGTCATTCATGTATTCTTCTACCACCATTTACTACTGTATAATCCTGGCTGGCTCACCAAATGTCAAGTTTTGTATAGGGGCCAAGATTCTTTACAGTAGGTGTCTGTGACTTGTTAGCAATAAATTTCAACAATAACTGGATAGCACACATCCATTTTTAAAATTTGTATTCAAAACATGTAAAATGTATGTATAAAAATTCATTACACTGTTGTTTACCAGAGTTGAATCTAGAGCTTTAAATAATTCTCTTTTTCATCAACGGCCCACACACGCTGGGTCAATTACTTTTGAACCCAATTGACAAGAAGAAGTTTTCTTCTTTATCTCTGTTGTTACAATACAAGCCACAAAACTGTTGGTTACCACAATTGTATCCAGAGCTTTAAATAATTGTCTCCTTTTCATCAAAGTCCACACAGGTGGGTCAATTACCTTAGAAAGGTCTTTATCTTATCAGTTCTTCAGACAATCTTCAATACATCAAAATCACCTCTTACCATTCTTTTCTCAAGAGAAAAATAACATATTAACATGATAACCCTTCAATTCAAGGAATCATAGTTGCCCTACTCTGAACCCATTCCAATAAGTCTTAGATAATGAGACCAAACATTTATATAGTTCAGCCATCTTGCATGGGCCACCTGATTCCTGACATATGTCTACCTAACAATAGGATACCTCCTTCCTTTTACCATTTCATCTCTCTACCTTAAGCAAGATTTTTCTTTTTTTCAGTTCAGTCTTTATCCTCCTTTTTCATTCGAATCTCTCCCCCATTTTAATCAGTTTGTTTTTCAATATAAAATGATAAAACCCTATAACCTGACAAGTGCTTTCAAAAGGTGGACCTTTCTTCTTCACACATCTATAAGTTGTTTGGTGCAAGTTATAGCTAATTAACATGCAAAGTTTTCTGCATCTTTGTGCATGAACAACAAATATAAAGTAACAATCTAAAAACATTTTTTAATCTACAAAGAAAACCATCATTGGAAAAGGAATATATATATATACATTTGAGTTAAAAAAAGGACAATGAAAGTCAAACATGCTAGACAACTGATAACTAGCAGTGGTACTAGAAAATTCTGAACTTTGCACTCAGAAAACCTTTATCTTCTCATGCTTAACAGTTTCGTATCAAAGTACCTGTTTCCTACACAAATGTTCTTGGTAAAGATCAAGAAAAAACAGTGATACAAATGTGAAACAACTAGAAGAACCACTTTTAAATTAGGAGAAGTAATTCAACAAAGCAAGCTACCTAAGTAGTGTAAGTACATTAGTTTAAGTATTATACAAGTTTTATCCTAAGAATAGTTGTATTTGTTGATCACTATGAGAATAATATCCTGTGTTTAATGAGTATATAAACAGGCACTAGTACCGCACACGTATGTTCTAGATGCGTATACAGAGTATGAACAATTTAACTACCAACATATACTTCAATGCAGAAAACTAATAATCTAAGGGGGGAGTGGCTTTATATGTAAAATGTGAGTTACATCCTGTGGAAATTGAGGATATAACAGCTCACAAAAAAATACTTATCAAAAGCTTGATAAGTATATGAAGGATAAGGGTTGGCTTTAAAATTTTAAATTTACTTATTAACACTTTTAGTTTAGTTTAGAAGATGAAAAATCCAAGATGGACCAATAGGTACCATGTTCTTCCAAAACGTTATATATATAGTCCTTATAAATATAAAAAAAAACTTTTAAAACGATTATGTCTTTATAGCTACTTGTCTTAGAAGAACATAAAATTAACATAGACATATAGATAATCAAAAGTTTATATTTGGGAAAGTTCTGACATGGTACAGGATGCTTCAAAAACCAGTTTCTCACAAACTACTTGAAACTAGCAATGTTTTTATCTCTATCTCCTTCAACACTACAAAGTTGGAGATTTAAATAAAATGTGTATCTGTGTACAAGATATTAGGAAGATCAATGAACACTAAGCAGATTATGTTTGAATAAAACTTATGAACATTTACTTCCCACTAGGGTAAGTAATTTTCATGATATAATAATTTTAAACATAGGGCAATTATAATTTATGAATACTACCTTCATGTCAGATTTACAATATTTTTTTAAATATGAACCCCATGTGACTATGACAGTTATTGCTGGCATATAACTTAACAGATTCAAAAACAGTAGAGATGTGGTCAAGATTTCTACTGTCTGAATTTGGTACATTTAATGCATGAAATTCAATAATAATCTTGACTTTTACTTGTATGAAAAACTATATTTCTCATCAAGAAGTAGGAAATACCCAAAAAACATTTAATTATGAAATACTTCTCTAATTCAGGCTTAAGCAGTTATTCTAACCTTAGTATGAACTGAAAGTTAAATGTTGTGAATCGGAAAAGAGTAGGAAACTTAACTCTTATCAGCACATTTTTGAAAAGTTATGTTGTGGAATATCTGGAGTCCAACTGGACCCTAGCACAAAATTACCATTATAGTAAGCTCTGGATTGAAATTCCAAAACAAATGCATTACAACTTTTATTAGGGTTAACATGCAATGTGAACAACATAAAAATTTATGTATTCTAGAGAAAATATGTTGACAAATCAAGAAATTACAAAATTACATTGTTCCACATTATACAAATATGTGGTATTAAACCATTCCTTATACAAACAGAGTGTCAAAAAAATGCCAAAAGTTTTACTACACACCTATATTTAAGTCCTTATCCACCAATATATGATGAGATTACCATAACTGCAAAATTCAACTAAAACAAACTGAAAGTGTACATTGTGGGTCACCATGGGTCCGACCAGACCCCAACACAAATGTATCCTTATCGTATGCTATCCAATAAACAGGTTATTTACAAAAATTATCAAATAAGGTTTCTATAAAATAGGCCATTATACGCAGTCATCACAGAGAACACTTGTTGAGGAATGAGATGCACATACATGCTTACCAAAATGATGTTGTAAGCAAACAGACGAGGTGATACTGTACTACTTTGATCAATTATCCTCTAAAACAGCTTATATAGTGAAATAAACATTTAGAAATTTGTTTCATATGCTATACGGCAAACTGCATGTATAGTGATGGTCAGTGATAATATGGGATCCGCTTGAACCTCAGATAAATATTACATTATAGCTATGTACTCCATCTGCTTGTTTCGAAAAAATAGTGTCATATTGATCCAGGGTTTCTGCTTGATAATTGCATGAATTTATATAAATTTGCAATGATTATGTAAAAAAAATATACATCCAAGAAAGTTGTTGGGGTCCAGGTGAACCCGCTGATGAGGGTTAAACAGCCAATTTATCTTCTTTGAGTAGTAGAAAAAAATTTTATATAGTTAGGTAAAAGTCCAAGTGAAAGTCCAAACAGAAATCTTACCTTACCAATGTATTTTTTTTCAATGATTTTACTTGTTATATTAATGATAAAAAGGGTGTAAACCCAGTGTACTTAGATTTTCAAAGGGTTTAAGAAACTTAATAATTTGACAAACAAAAGATTAGCTATAGAAATCACATTTGT